AGTGACAGTTTTCTCTTACAAGCTTGGAATTTCAGGATGGTCCTTTAAACACTGTATTAGTTCATTGCAGCCTGCAATCAATTCAGACATGCCCCAAGCTGAAGCCCTGGCTGGAGCTCTTAAAGGACTCTTTCCAGTTCCTGTATTTGTTCTATAAGAGCAAGTTTTTCAGATAAATACTGCACTTTATTCCCCTTTTTTTTCACTGCCTGACCTGCCCTTCTCAAATTCACTTACGGCTTCTGTGGCATTTCTGTGCTATCCCTGTTTGTAGAAAAGCCTATTAATGGACAGGAGTATTGGATTGTCATGCCCTTTGTAGGGCTGGAAGCTGCAGATACTGCAAGCAGGGAACAGGACAAAGTGAGCGCAGCATTTTATGCACCAGTGGTGTGTGATCTGAATACAAGTCCAAGGCGTGGGCAAAGGGAAGAGAATTCTTTCCACATCTCCCGATTGTCGGGTTAAAGCCCTTTAGCCGTGGGACTAGCCCCTTCCCCCAGTTCTCTGGGGCAAGTGGCAAATCAAAAGGTTCCCCAGGCTGCTTCCCCTAAGTGCACAGTAGTGCCCTCTCAGGCAGCATTTGCTGACCCCCAGCATCTCTCATGGCCCTCGGGAGGTGAGGATGGAGTTGACCCAAGGTAACTTTGTGGTCAGCAATTGTTACTGCAGATGGGACAGGTTGTTTGCAGCGGGACCTGCTGATCAAGCCTATTTCAGACCTGGTTTGTTGACACAGTGGTGGATCTTCACTGCCTGAGTTTGCCATTCTCCTCTCATAGTCCTGTGCCATCTTGGTGTGGTTGACACTGAAGAGAAGAGGTGGTTTGAAGGCTTTCCCTATGCCAGTAGACAGCCAAGGTGAGGAAATGAGTGAGAGTGCATCCTGCCCGTCCTCTCTCTTACACAAAGTGTGGCTCATTAGTTTTATACTTCTTATGCCTCTCTCCAGGTGAAATTAAGTAGGTCCCTATCCTGTGAGACCACAGGCAGTGCCTGAAATAGTGTGCAGGTAATCAAGCCCCCAACACGAGTAAACACACCTCCGTTCATATAAAGGGATTATTTTCTTCCTGAGTTTGTGGAAAGCAGACTTGCATGCTAAGGAGGATACTAGGAAAAACAGCACTCCTATGTTGAGTTACTCTGTGTGAAGCAAATAACCCCTTTCTGCATCAAAAAAGCATTGATATGAATGATTCAGCCCCTGTGCTAGATTGGTTGGGTGGGTCCTGAGCCATTTGCCTGAGGGCTGGTTGATGTTAAATGCTAGAGGCTTTCAGTAACTCTGACTTTCAATTTAAGGACATATAAGGCAACAGTTTTATTTCTTACAATTCTGGAGCAACTGGCTTAAGTTTTTTAATTATTTGTAAAGGTCAAGCTGTTGCCTTGAGTTCCACACACCAATGCCCAATACATAACGATTACTTTTTCTTATGGATAATATACAAATCCTTTCACTTACTGTGATGTAACTAAGCAAGGCTTGGGAAATTCATTGTCTTTACTGGCACTTGGCAGTCCAGGGAAGATGAAGTGGCAGCAGCAGTAGTGGAAGGTGAGATTTCTTCCTGTCATCAAAGGTCGGGGGGGGGGAGCTCTGGGTACTTTATGTAAGCAGAGCAGCTAGTAGCTGGCATATGATCCAAGCTGGCACTAACTAGTGAAGCTTGAGGGAATTAATTGGTTATATATGGGCTTTTCATGTGCTGAGTCAGTGGCTGTCCCTCTGTCTAGATCCCTGTTGTTACTTAGCCACTCAGATCACTGACATTTACACTGTCGCCTTAATGCTAATGCAAGGGGGAAAAGGCTGCAAAAACATAAACACTTGTTCTTTTTCACCAGAGTGGGTTGGCTGCTCTGCCCTCTCAGGGGTGCATCAGCCAGAGCTGAGGGAAGTAAAGGCTGCAACGGTGGCAGAAAATGCCAGTTTATTTGTTGTATGTTGGCAACAGAGTTTCTGCCATTGGTATAAAAATGCAGGGAAAAAAATAATTGTGCAGCTAGGGAAGATTTTAGAGCCCTGTGAGGTTAGCTGTGGCTGAAGTAACTCCTGGAAGGAGCAAGGATCCCACTTCCATTTCTAATTTGAAGTAGTCTGAAGCAAGGAGTACACAGTCATTTCCTGTGTAAAATTCATAGTTACTAAAAAGAAATGTTTACAAGAAAACATACTTGCTGGGTTTTTCTTACACATCTTAGAAAAGATTGACTATCCTTTTTCAGACACATCACATAAGGTTTCTCTCAGATGGTGTAGAATGCACCGTGTTTTCTGTGTCTCATCTCTGCTCCTTCTGCAGCCAGGAGGCAGGAGAAGTTATGCAGGATGCATTGCCATCCAAAGGCCTCTCTGTCCTTCATGCCAGTAGCAGGAACCTGGACACCGGCTAGTCCCAACCAATCATTCACATGGCACCAAGTGGGTCAGGTGAATCCCACCCATGGCACAGTCATCGTCCCTTGCAAGTTGACTTACCACTCTGTTGTGATAAATACCAGCACCATGAACCTCTCACTGCAACAGTACCCTGGTGCAGTTATTCACTGTGTCTGTGCCAAAGGCTTCGTGCATATTTTTTTCAGTTGACAGTTAATTGCAGAGAGGGAGACAGGGAATAAAAATGCTGTGGATGGTGAAGGAAATGAGTCTGACTCATTTCCACTCTCCTTCTCACATTTTTAATCTTGTGCAGTGCTGCCTGTGACAGGAGTGGGATTATACTGGGTTTACTGATAGCAGTCTGTAGCCTGCTGTGTACATGGTCTTCAATCCATTTTTTTTTTTTTTAAGAATCTGTTTCTGTTTATTTTCCCATTTTCCTTCAGCAACTTCTACCTGACAGGTTTAAGTTGCTTCCCTTTCATTCCCGTTCCATCTGCAAGCACATCTCCTCCTTCTAACTAAGTATGTTTGAAAGCAAGAGGGGGGAATACAGTTAACATTGCTTTCTGTTGTGGAATGCAGAAAATAAGGAAAAACTTGGAATGGGAAAGCACTGTTTTTGCAGAAACTGTGGTGTCTTTCAGAGGGAAAGCACAGGCTGCTTCATTTTCAGACCCTGGGTTGAAGCCTGAGAGAAAAGCAGGTGACACCAAGTTTATGTTGACCATCCAAAGGCTAGAGAGGGGAAATCAAATAGATTTCATGTCATTAGATAGCAGTCTGTAAACAAGGTAGTCCACATCACCGTGCCCAAGGTCAGCCTTTGTGTGTACAAGCCAGAATCTGGGGGCTCTGGGACAGGGTTTGGTGTCTCTTGCTGGTTTAAATTGACCTGTCAAGCAGTGTGTTACAAAGCAGTGCCTGGACACATAGGGAAGAGAGGCAATGTTCAGGGCACAAAACCACCTGAAAGGATGTGGTAGATGTTTGCACTGAATTTCATGTGGCCCAGGCTTGGAGATGCACAGAGCAGTGCTAGAGCAAGAGAACACAAGCTCACAAGCAAGACAAAGAGCTGGTTAGTGGCAGGTCCAGGTTCCTGACAAGGTCTGTGACTGTCAGTGCCAGAGGCCACAGCTGTGTTTTTGTGTACATATGTCCTCAGCAAACTATCTGCATAGGCAAACTCAGCTCTTGGATGAAAGTAACTACTTTCTGATCTATATTTCCTTTATCTCCGAATAGTGAAAGATAACAATTTGAAGATTATAACCATGTTTTAAATACCAGAAGAACCTTTTCAACATATGTCTTTTTCTTGACTGGAGTAACTTGTATCTTTGTTAGCCTGCATGCAGAGTAGTCTCCTTGTTCGAGGAGCTGGCTTGTACCAAATGGGGGCAGAAATATAAGTATTTACTGCCATCTTTTGGGCAGTCTGGGTACGACTTAAAAAAAGAAGGGTCAGTCGAGTTACTCAGTTGTCATCTCCTTTAGCTTTGTCAACTGATTCTTATTTGACAATCAAATACAGCAGTCCATAAAAAAAACATAATTTTTTGTATAGTCATGTTAACAGTCAGAAGCTACAAGGGAAGCAGGGTTTGTAGGGAGAGGTGCTCACTTTGATTTGAGCAAGCTAATAGGTTTGGGGAAAAAAGTGAGCAGACAGATATCTTTGAGCACATGCACTGTTCTCCGGGTTTTGAGACAGTGTATGTTCATTGCTCCAAGCTGTCAGGAGCTTTGTGTTTTGCTTTAATGCATAATTAGTAGGAGCTGGAGAAATTACTGAAATTCCTGAAGCCAAAACCTGGAGCTACTGTTTCATGATCTACAATCCAAATGGGATGAGCCAGTTCCTGGCTCAGAGGAAAAATGTTTTACTGCAAGTACTGAGGTTTTAGACTGTTTGGGGGCTTTTTTCAAGAAATGCAGCTCAGGTGCTTGCTCTTCAATCTACAAAAGTATTAGCATGTTAGCAAATACTGGATTATTTCAAAATGCATATACTTTAGCAAGGTAGGATATGTTGCACACATATGTCACACTCCTCTGACCCTTTCTTATATGATGTACTGCTCAGCTGAAGTGCTGCTTAGATGGCCTGTCCTAATTGTGATACGGTATTTTCCATCTGTTTGACATTTCAGATTGCATTTTTAACCTCACACCAAATCCAACTTTCAGTCCTGCAGGCTGTGCAGACTCAGGTTTCCTGCTGTGATAATAGCTCATTCTTGTAAACTATTTTGAAATTAATAGCAGCAGGTACTTCACTGTTTCCAAAAGGCTGTGTCTCTTAATGGATGGAGCCTTCTTTTAATGCAAGGAGATCTCTTACTAGAGCATTTTAGAAAGATGAAATTTTTACCTGGGATTCATCTATAATGCTGATGTCAGTGCACTTATAATCTGATCCTTACCAGCTGGACCTCCACAGTGTACCACAAGCAAATGTTAAAACCTTGCTCAGTGTGAAACTTGTTGTGTTGTTTGTTTAGGAGGCGGCAGCACTGACAGTTACCCTTCCTGTCGCTGTTGTCGGGCTTGCGTTCAGCAAGCAGAGTATGACTCTCTGCTCTCATCTTATATTTGTTTGTTTTAGGTGAAACTTCCTTTTCCTGTTGATCAAATCACAGATCTTCCAAGGAATGATTTCCAGATGATGATAAAGATGCACAAGCTAACCTCAGAGCAGCTCGAGTTCATCCACGACGTGCGCCGGCGCAGCAAGAACCGCATCGCGGCTCAGCGCTGCCGCAAGAGGAAACTGGACTGTATTCAAAACCTGGAGTGTGAGATCCGCAAGTTGGTGAGTCCTGGGCTCTCACCCTCACGCTGCAGCTTGTAGGACACCTGCAGCTACTCCTGCCCAGCTGGTTTAGTCTGTTTGTACATGAGTAAGCAGAGCCACCAATGTGAAAATTTAATAGATAAAAATGCGTTAGTGTGTGTGTGTATATGTAATATATATGGAAAACACAACATTCTGGTGGAATGAGGCCTAGATGTGTCTTCATTTTGAGATCTCAAGAGCGGATTTTTGAGTGAGTTGGAAGACGAGAGAAGCTTGTATCACAGCTCCCATCTTGCAGTTTAGCTTGCCCCCAGTACGTCCAGTGTATCCACAAAGGCATTTCCTCATTCAAGCCCCATTTCCATGCCTAACTAGCATAACAATCTGTTGATCAGGGACTCATGTAGTGCTCAAAGGAGACAGATATGGAGAGATCTTCAGAGGCTGTCTGGTCCAAACAGTGGTGTGGCAGGGCCAGCTATATCTCTGCATAGAGATTTTACTTGTTTGAGGTTTTTTTAAGGCAGCTCAACATTTTCAGGAATTTCAGCTCACTATGCCTTTTCTTCAGCTCTTTTTTTCACTGAGCAAATGGCAGAAATGGCAAGGGAAGTGAAAAGAAAGGAATGTGAATATCCAGACTGGTGGGCATCCCTTGGTGTAAGTCAGTAAGATGGCACGGTCATGTTCCTCTTCCTGCTGTCTTCCCTGTAACACTCCCTGTGGTGTGCCATGGACTGAAGCACCCTCCATGATTCAAGGGCCATCTAACACAAAAGGCCTGTTCCCACTTCACAGTGCACTGGCCTTCACATCCCATGCCCTGGGTTCAGATGGCAACTGTTGGTTTACCCCAAAACTCCTTGACATGAGTCTCTGGTAGTAGTCTACTGCATAGAGGAGAGCAAACCATGCCTTGCTCACTGGCCAGAGCACATCTGGGGACAGGTCTCCTGTGTGCCAAGGTGTCAGTGCTACCACATTTTAGTCCAAGAAAGTGAGGTAGTGAGGTGACTGGAGCAAGGCCAAATGGCTGCTCAGTAAAGTCCTCTTTCTTTCAGTCATGGTATGGACACCTCAGGTGTGGTTTGAGTGTCTAAACACAGTTGTCTACAATATAGACATCTGTGCTGGAGCTTGTTTTTCTGTTTTTCTTTATAGTCAGTGAAGGGAAATAGATACCTGACAAGTCTTATTTGTCTCATCTTGCAGCAGAGGAGGTGACATACAGCCCAGCCATGCCTGTTCCTCTCCATTGCTACACAAGAGCACCTGAAGAGCCATGTCAGATGTAGACAGCTATAGGCACCTTCTCTGAAAAAACTCCCCTCCTTAGTGACAGTGCCCCTGTGGTCTGAGGGTCCTGCTCCTCTTCACTTGCCATCCCTTGCCCATAGAGAAAGCAATCTGGTGCACAGCAAAAAAAAAAAGGGCTTGAGAAAAGCATAATGGAGGAAGACATGTCTACAGGGTGTCACTCAGCAGGAGTAATGCAACACTGGAACTTCAAAATGAGTTAGCACCTCCTCATCTGTTTAAAAGTCCTAAAAGCTTTATGACATGTAAAAAATAATGCAGTAGTCCCAGTTCAGCTGTTAGGAGAAGTGTGGGTGTACAGCATGCAGGACTGGACAGTGTAGCTGCATTGCACCGCGTAGTTTTAGGAGTCCAGCATTAAAGCCAGCCTTTGAATATCCAAGGGTTTGAGAGCTAAATTAATTAATTCACATAGATAAAACAAAAGGAGCTGAAGTTGATTTCCTTCCTCTGTGTACCCAGCTTCCACTAAAATTGAAAGTTATTTGGAGTCTTTGATTTAAGTGTCCACGTGTACATTTAAAACATGCTCAGTTGTAGGTTGAACTTAGAGGGTTTGAGGAATGGGGCACTTCTTGTTCTTGTCATAACATGTTGCATGTTGAAAGTGGCCTTTAGTGTCAGTTTCATTGTGCTTCATTCTCCACACAAGCTGTAGCAAACGTAGTGCAGCAGAAAGCCGCATGACTTTGGGTTACTCACTTGCTGCCTGAGCCTGTCTGCTTCCCGTCTGTAACTGGGAGGTGACACTGACCCCACAAGCTGGTTGGGAGGCTTAAATCATCAAGGCTTGCAAAGCCTTCAGCTGCCTTGCTGCTGAAGCCCCGGGGGGAAATAAAGAAACAAAAATCAAAACATTATTCAGAATAGTGCTCCACTAATGCAAAACAACCAAAATATCAAAGATAAACAAAATAGTGAGAAACTGCTTCCTGCACTGAGCATAATCCACAGCTTGTATCAGAAATAGTGTGGCCAGCAGGACTGGAGAAGTAATTGTACCCCTGCACTTGGCACTGGTGAGGATGCATCTTGAATGCTGTGTTCAGTTTTGGGCCCCCCACTAAAGGAAGGATGTTGAGGTGTGGAGGATTTTAAAAATGTGTAGATGTGGTGCTTAATGACATGGTTTAGGGATGGACTTGAGAGTGCTAGGCTAACGGTTGGACTTGATGATCTTAAAGGTCTTTGCCAACCTAAACTATGATTCTGTGGGATCTGGTGCATCATTCTGAAAAAGGAGGTTCATAAAAAAGACAGTCACTAGGTGCACAAGAGTATAAAGCAGCAGAATTAAACTCATGCAACTTTAACTTTGCCTCGCAGTCCCTCCCCCATATGCATGCCCTCCAAGCAGGTAGTCTTCTTCAAGATCATAATTTTTACTCTTAGGAGAACCAGCAATGCAACTCCAGTTCACTTCACACAATACATGGTAACTGGAAATTCCTTTGTCATCTTCTGTCCACTTTGTGGTCAGTAATTTACAATCTCCTTATGTATGTAATGGCACTAGTGTTTCAAGGTTTTTCACTCAGCTGCATCTTTTTTATGAAAGACCCCTTTTTCCCCTACACTTCATGCCTGTAAGTCACCCATCTTCTTGGCACAGATGGTTTCACAGCAGACAGTGAGTGAAATGGTTGTATCCTCTGAGTTTGATAGGTAATTTTTTTTTCCTGCTTTCCCTCACTCATCCATCCACCCACTCACGTTCCCTTTTTTTCCCTGCAAACTCACAACATATTCTCTTCCATAATTCATTATCTCAAGATGTACTGAAGCATCTGTTTATTTTTTTATTATTTTTATGCTTTCTTGATAGATATATAAATATTTTAGCAGTCGGTTCTTTTCATGTGCACTGCTCTCTTTCTCATTCACACAGCTGGATGCTTCCAGTTCAGGCTTTGCATCCAGGGCAATACTATCAGCTGTCAACAACCACCCATAGCTGGATTGTCTGAGTTGTGGAGTTTTCACACCTCAGATGCCAAAGCAGCTTGGGTTTAGCAGTATTACTAGGTGAGGTACATGGCTGTGCTGCTTTTTGGGCCAGCTCAGCTCTGGAAATAGCTCTGATACTCTATAGAATCTCATCTATACCCTTGAGTTGTATGCTTACCTTCCTGGGAGAGAAAGTGATGCAGCAAAACCATCCCCATCAGTCTGCACTGAGTCAAACACTGATTTTTAGAGGTGTAACCCCAAGCTGGGTCTGGATCTGTGCCCAACCCCCTGAGTCTGCCTCCTGAGCATGGGGAGGGCAGTGCTCACCCTGCAGGGGCTGGCTGGCCAGGTGAGATCTAAGCTGGAGATAACTCCCACTGCAGCACATCGCACAGAACTCTGCACTAGCTGGGGCCGGGGGCTCACCTGTGCTTTGTTGGGTGCAGAGCAACCTGAGCTTCTTTTCCCAGATATTTTAATTCTGCATGAAAAAATAAGTCCTACCAAGCTCTCTCACTCTGCCTCCTCACTGGTACTGTCCTGCCTCTCACCTGGCCCCTCCTAGAGCAGCCCACTGACAGTGAAACTGAAAACACTTGAGCTTGGTGGTAGTAGGGGAGGACATGTGGAAGCACAAGAGGCAGAGCCAGAGCAGAACAAAAGGGAAAGGACCTTGAGCTTGTACTGAGTATTAAGAAATCCACCATCCTTCAGGGTTTTACATGCAGCTTCGTAAAAATATCTTTATTAGGTCAAACACAAACCTTTAAGCACCAGGATATAAGAAAACAAGCTGTGATGCAGGCTACAGGGCACACATGCAGATCCTCTCCTCTGAATTAAGAAGAAATTCTTTAGTGTGAGGGTGGTGAGACACTGGAACAGATTGTCCAGGGAAGTTGTGGATGCCTTATCCCTGGAAGTGTTCAAGGCCAGGTTGGATGAGGCTTTGAGCAACATAGTCTGGTGGAAGGTGTCCCTGCCCATGCAGAGGGTTTGGAACTAGATGACCTTTAAGGTCACTTCCAATGCTAACCACTCTATGATTCTATGAGTAATGCACCAGTCAGTGGTAACAGGGGTTCAGCTGGCACATGGACCAAAGCGGGTTCACCCAGCTTGCCCAACCAACCCAGCAGTTAGAGCATGAACTGAGCTTCTGCAACATACCCTCACCTCAGGAACTAAGCCCTGTTTTCATGGTGTTTGGATGGGTAATTACTTTTCTGCATAAAAATGTTTCTTCCTGAGTTTTTTTGTATTGTCCATCAAGCAGGCTTAGTCTATAAAGGGAACTAACAGTCTGCTGGAAATAACTTGTGACTCTGTCCTCTTCCAACTCAAATATTTTTCTCCAGATGTTTCCCAAACTGCAGTCCTCCAAACACAGACCTCATGGTGGTCAGATACCTGGTATCTTTGTGACTTTTCCTCTGCCCTTATAAAAATAACTGTGACATGGTGTTCTTCTTGGGTACCGCTGTTTACATGCCTGGAGTGTGCAGCCGGTGGGTTGCTCTTCATCAACCTGAGATGCCTTTTCTCTTTCAGGTGTGTGAGAAAGAGAAATTGCTCTCAGAAAGGAACCAGCTGAAAGCAAGCATGGGGGAATTGCTAGACAACTTCTCTTGTCTTTCCCAAGAAGTGTGTAGAGACATGCAGAGCCCGGAACAGATCCAAGCTCTCCACCGATACTGCCCCGTTCTTAGACCCATGGATCTACAGCCAGCCACCGCCATCAGCCCCTCCCCAGCTGGCATGGAGCAGAGCCTGGTGACCTCCCAGTGCGTCGGGGAAAGCATGCAGTGCTGCTCAGAGCAAAGCTCAGTGCAACTGGGAGCGCCCTGGCTGCCCAACAACATCTCAGAAAATTGTTCAGCTGGCGGGGGGTTGGATGGATCCGACGCAGGTACTTACCCCGAGAGGGAGCTCCCACCAGAGCAGAGCAGCCAAACGGTCACGGTAGACTTCTGTCAGGAAATGACTGATAAATGTACAACAGATGAACAACCTAGGAAAGATTACACCTAGTGACTTGTACCCTTAACGTTACACCTGGTCAGGTGTTCTTCAGTCAGCCAGTGGCAGTGTTCATTTGTTGTCTAGAAGAACGTATTTGGTGCACACTACAGTGGTCTTAGCAGCAATACTGTTTTTAAGTATTCCCTCCTCTCTACAAGCAGGAGTTCTCTTCACAATGGTGCTATCCCTTGCTCAGGCAGGGAACGAAGCAGTGGCAACACTGTCTGTTTTTATATGTTGATTTCAATCTTAACAGGGATGGACATAACACCTCTGAGGACCCAACCGCAGCTTTTTTCTCAGTGGCCCATGTCACAAAACCCTAACTCAGGAATTTCCTCTGAATGTTCAATTTTTCATTGAAGACAGCTTCTTTACACATCAAAGTTTTATAGCTAAACTGTACATATTATATATAATATATATAAAATATATATATCCATATGCAAAAGTCCCTGCATGCCTGAATTTTTCTCATCCTACAAACTGGAAGCTTTCATTTCTATTGTATAAACAAGTTCCAACATTCCTTTTTGTCTTCGATGCTAGAACTAGTTTGGTAACTTGTTACACGATAGGTTTTTTTTTTCTCGGTTCACAGTTCAGCAATATAATTCGATTTGTACTTATTTATAAAATTTCAATGTTGGAAACTTATTTGAGATTTTATTATAGACAATTTTTTTGGCACAGCCATTTTGTGCCACTTGAGCGATGCGGAGTTATTTTATTTTCTTGCAGATACTGTACAGTAACGGTCAACTTTGCCACTTGCACTGAGTTTCTGGTCAAACCTCTTTTCATAAATGAAGTCGTGACTTCAGTATAACTTGAGTATATGGTTTTCTTTGCTTTATGGCTTAAAGAAAATAGAAAAGTTTTAGCTAATAGACAAACACTCAGGAGCTCATTATGTAGTAAAAACGGTCTTGCCAAATACTGAATTCACTATACAATTTTTAAAGAGAATCTGCTTGAATTATTTTTATATTCAGACTTCTTTCTGTTTCACAAACCAAGTTTAAGTGCTGTTAATGATGCTTTTGGATTCTTATAGGGGAAAGTATATTTCACTCTTTAGAGAAAAAAGTATTTGACAACTGGATCAGTTCATTGTACGTTCCACGAAGTAAAGCAAATGGAGATCACATCAATACACTTGCAGGGAGGGCTATTTCTCCAGCCCCACTCTGCATCCTTTACTCATGGAAGCAACTGTGGCTGTGGCAGCTGGCCAGAGCCTCACCTCATCTGTCCTCAGACGTTACCTGTTTTCCTCACCAGACCCGAGTTGCAGCGCTGGGTCTGGTGAAGTCAGTGATCCTGCCTGGTTAGGCAGAGCTGCAGGATCAGATCCCTAGTTGTTGACTTTGGTTTCCTTTACAGAAGTCAAGTTAGCACCCAGTTTGGTCGCTTACTCATCAAATTCTTGTGTTCCAGGATCGATCCTCTCGTCCTGCAGCGTTGCCCTCAGCAAACTGCAGCTAAAAGAGCGCTGTCTCGAAGGAGACTACTCAGTGAATTGGCTTAGTTGTAACTGCATTGGATTTGTATCTGAAGCAATGTTGACTCATGGTATGACTGTGTGAGACAGCAACTTTCCAAGCATAACATCTCTATGTACAGCGTAGACAGAAAAACGTCCTCCTAATGCTTTTTTAATTATTATTATTATTATTATTATTAATTATTATTATTATTATTATAAGTGTACTGAGTCTTTTTTTTGTGGTTCTTTGCCCTACGTGTGCCAGGTTGCGTGGCTTTATTGATGACAACTGTCATGTGCTTTACTGGCTGATACTGTTTGTTGTCACTGAAAAAAAAAAAAAAAGACCAGCTGTTCACAGCTGTTTAAAAAAAAAAAAAGTGGAGGGAAGCAGCTTCTCAGAAGCACTAAGTGACAATGTGGTCTTCTGTGTTAACGTTTACACTAGAGGTGTGCACTGGTGCTTTTTTTGAGGCATTCAGTAGATCAGCATCTTGACTCTGGAGGAGGAATCAGCTCCCTCTCTCCACTTCTTCCATCTTCAGACTGTGCTCATGGACCGTCACCCACTCGCCACAAAGTCTTGCTTTTACCCTCTTCACCCAAACTATTGTAGCCAAGCTACCGAGGAGGAAATGCATATAGCATGTGCCATGTTTGTTGAAAATACTTTTTTTCCCCGCATGTACAAAGAAAAACTAGTATATAATGTAGGAGAATATTTATGTTTAAGTATTAATCATTACTGTACAAAATCCTTACCTTTAAATGTTTGAAAGTATACAAATGCCATAAACTCCCAGTTCACACAGTTGAAAAAGGGGGAGCAGTTGTCCTTTCTTTTTAAAAGAGCTTAACCTAAAAATAACTGAACCCCCTCCCAGCCATCTTTTGCAGGTAACTGGCTGAGAAGCTCTTTGGCAGGGGGGGAAGATTTGAATTTCCTTTGAATTTGTTGACGTTGCAAAGCAGTTCTGTGCTTCGCAGAGAAGTTTTGTTTCTATGAGACCATGGTGAAAGCTAGAATTTAAAACTAAATGTGAATCACATTATAGAGTCATAGCTACTTGGGGAGGGCTGGGGGCGGGTGGGAGGGAAGGGTCAACTGACACAGTATTTTAAAGATGTTTTTCTGTTGCCTTTTTTATTTTTAAGTGACCTCCTATATATATGAATAGATAGAATGTTTTATGAGTATAAAACCAAGTTTAACTTGCTTCCTGACATGAAGATTTACTCTACTAACAACTCATGTGCAACTGGTACTCTTGACCTCATTCCAACGGTTTAAAAACCCACACACAAAATCCAATGCGCTGCAGCTCTTAGGTTTGACCTGGCTTCATACTGGTGCTGGGTCTCTTGATTTCCTCTACCTTGGGAACTGATACTTAAAACCACTGCTCAAATAAGTGTCTCTTCCTCAACCTTTCTCTTGTCTCTCTCTCTTTCTCTCCCCCATGAGCTTTTCTGGATGTTTGATTTCATTCTTTCCCATTAGAAGTAGCTGATTTTGTGGCATTGCTTCCTATATTTACATGTATCATGGTTTTTCAGTGGGGTTTTTTGGTGGTGGTGGTGGTTGTTTTCTGTTTCTATTTTGTTTTGAGGTTTTTTTCCTATTCCGAACCACGTGGCTCTCAAAGCTGATACTGGGCTAACAGTAAAGGAAGACATTGGGAGAACTAGTTTCAGACCTGGACATCAGCTGACAAGCTGACATGCCCAACCATTTGCCACAAGAGGTCAAAACAGCTGACCACTAGGATACCATTGGAAAGAAAAACAAACAAACAAACAAACAAAAAAGTGACTGTAGTATTTATGAATTTTAAGAGTTTGGCCAGTGGTCACTATGATATTAAGCAAGAATCTCTTTATTTTTGTCAAAGAGGACACATGCAGCATCGATCCTGTTGGGCGTTGCTTGGGCATGGCATGGTGAGACCCCATCTCCCACTGGACACTGCTCCACTCTAGTGGGCATGCAAGTCCTTGAAGCTTTGTCCAGTCTCTATCTAGTTCTCCTTTTCCTTTGCCATTGCTATACTTGTATCGCCAGGAAACCTCATTTCATTTAAGCTTGTTATGCTTTGTCAGGTGAGTACTACAGTATATAATGTGTTTGTTTCTCTGCGTTCTCTGGGGGTGCCTTGAACACAATTAAAGCTTATTGCAAGCTGATTCTGGAACAAAAAGATAGTAAAAAAATAGTAAAGAAAATTAAAAAAAACAAACAACAAACTGAGAGAAAACAAAACAGAAAACAAGCAAAACAAAAACAAAAATGTTGGCTGTGTTATCAGGAGATCCCAGTATTTATATCACAGACTTCCTAACGTGATGACTCAGGCGTCAGAGTTTGATGCTGCAGTATAAAACTATTATTTTATATATTGTACAAGTAATTTATTAAATGTCTTTCTAAGGGTATATGCTGCTTTTAAAATGCACTATATTTTTGGATCTAATCCTTGTATTATGTTTTTTTTCCCAAGGAAGTAAAATGTGCTGCAAAGGCAAGCCACAGTGATTAGTATGCTAACTGCTACTTCTCTTTAAAAAGGAGAGTGGGAACTAGATACATAACTTTGCTAAATGGTTTAACTGCTGCCAGATAAATGATTAATGCTGATAGTGTGGTCGTTAATCTGGAGTCCAACACTTCATCAAGTCTGTGTTCTAAAGAGCGCTTGAATAGAAGTTAAAATGCCTAGATAGTTAGATTTTTTTTTAATATGTAACTTTATGATTGCCTAACAAGTAAAACAAATCTGCACGCTGGACTCACGGTAGTCCTGTAATAAAATGAAATCTGATCCACCAGGAGAAAGCACGGTGAAGCGTTGCAATTCCAGAATCAACACCACATCCTCCCTTGTCTTGTAACCCACTGCTGTGGTGGTTACAAGAGGGAGAGGGGTCAGTTTCCAGAACAGAAGACCTGTTGTGAAATTTGCAGCGAGATGAAGTGAACATTTGCCAGGTTTACACACGTTCACAGTTTGCTCCACTTCATGGCCTCTACTATTGCAACAAGGAACACTGCTTTCACCTTTTTTTTTTTTCCCCTGATTCAAGATGCATTAGGAGGTGCCTCCAGGTGGATGTTGTAGCCCGTGGTTGCAGCATTTTAAGAGTCTCTATTTTAGGGCTGCCTAGAGAAGGTTTAGCTCAGTATGAGCAGCGGAGCTGGTGGCCTTGCCTAAGAAGGGGATCTGCTAAGTATGGAGCAGTTTATTTTTATCAGAAGTGAGGTGAAACTAAAACTATTAACATAAAGAACTTATGCTCTCTTTCCTGCTAGAAATTTTCTCAACAGATTTTGACTTTGGTTCAGTTTTGTCCCTGCCAACACAGTGCAAGTTAATTTTACATCCGTATATATAATATGTGTATGTATGTATACATACATCTATAATTCTAGTCATGAGTGTGTGTTTGTGTATTTTCCTGTTTATAATACATATTTGTATATTTATAATACTCCCAAGAGTATTTAATGACTCAAGCATCAGATCTGATGCTGTAGAATACAATATATGTGTATATGCATATGTTAAAATACTGTATGTATATTTAAAAGATCTATTGTTGGTGGTCTGTAGAATAATTCTTCCCTTTACTCTCAAAATTGTAATGGCATTACTTGCAAAGACTCAAGTGTACAGTATTTTCCTACACTCCACCAAGATAGATATTATTTATATCAAAGTCAAATATTGATTTGCATTTTAAGGTATTACACAGATAGTGTTGCCATTTTTGCAAATAAAATGGCTTTTTGGCAGGAAGGAATACTAAAAATACCTTTTTCTAAGGTCATTATGCCAACCAAATGACAGCTAAGAAGCCAGTGAGATGAGTTCTGTTCCTGTATGAATTTTAGTGAGTGTGGGCAGGGCCCTTCCCATAGGTGAAAGTCACACGCAGTTCATGCAGTGCCACTGGTGTCCCTTTTGGCTAATTAACAGCATGCAGAAAGAAACTAGCATCCTAAAATAGAAATGGCAACTGGCAGTGTTTGATTTCATTGATTGCTTAGAAGCAGAGACGGTCCCAGGCTACGCACACAGAGGAAGGCTGTGCTGTGGGGGGAGCTGGGCCAGGGGCTGCCATCGCCGGCTGGGCTGGTCCCTGCGAGCAGAGGAGCCCACCCTGGGGACATGGGCACAGGAGGGAGCAGCTGCCCCACGCCAGGGGTTGTGGCTGGGATCCCCCCTGCCCAGCTCTGTGTTCCCCTGCCTTTCTGATGTCTCAGTCCTGCTCTCAGCGCTGCCTTTGCTCTCCCTGGAGATGTCTGGATCCCGCAGACTGGCAGGGGGGAAAATAAAAACTTTGGTGGTATTCAATGCGTGGTTGTTTACTCCTAGTTCCAAGCATCACCTTTGATTTCAAGGGTGGGGATGCCCTAAGAGTTTGTTCCAGAACCAGTTGGTTACAAGTGCACCTCTTCTATATGCCTTACAAACTTCAGAGGCCATATTCAAAACAGGGTTTTATCAGCGTATGCAAGGGGGTGCAACCCCTCTTCTCTTCCTCCCCAGGTCAAACAGTATGGACAGTTTTCACACATATCTACCTGTATAACCCTCTGTACCTCTCATAACTGGTCAATGACTGTAACAGGTTACATCAGGTGTTTTTTCTACATACTTTTTACACAAATTCTATGCGATTAATGTAACTTAATTCAATGCATCATTTTATTGTACTAGTTCTTAAGCTTGTCTTTTATTTTTTTTCTAGGTGACTGTGGTTTCTTGTGATTTTTATTGTATAAATAAATGAGGTGGCTGTTGATGCTTACTCTCTGTTACTAAGAATTTTTACCTTTTTGGAAGAAAGCATTGCTATGAACTAACGAATTTAAAATGTCATTTACTCATTGTAAATACAGTATTGTGCAAAAAACAAAAATGAAAAAAAAACACCCGACCCTTTTCATTCATTTGAATTGCTAGTGTTAACTGAATTTTGTCTAGACACCATTTCTGTTGATGAAATAAAGACATATCATTATGTATTGTAAATCGACTCATCTTGACTCTGATGTCACTGTTGCAGTGCTCGGTTAATGCCTGGGTTGTAGGTGTGATTCAGAAGGACAAGTTGGATGTGCTTGAATCTCTGGACTGGTAAAGAGACCTCCACTCCTGTGGTCCCACTGCTAATTTACTAGTTGCCTTTGATCCAGGGATCCAGTTATCTTTGATCTGCTGCAGCAACAGCTGAGGGTATTTCATTGCAAAGATGAAATAAGTTGTTCTGGAAGATCAAACAAGCTGTATCTATACCCACTCCCCTGGTGCTTGACTTATGGCAAGTCTTCTAAGTCTTTGTCTTCTAAGGTGTTGGTATACATGTTAGGAGGCAAGGGCAGAGGTTGGGGATTGTTTCCCCTTTACAGCAAATCTGTGAGAAATTGAGAGAGGTTTCTGTAGAAGGCAAATATAGCTGAAAAATCTTTGTGTAACCCAAATACCATAGTGTTCCTTTCTGAAGGAGGAACTTGTGCCATGGACTGTTCGTCACATACACTGAAGAGCCAGAAAGGAAAAAATAATTATAACAGCCTTAGATGCTATTGCCACAAGCAGGTCACAGGATCTAGCAGGGGCTGTTTACTCTCTGGGACTCCCAAATCCATGGCTTCTTGGGTTGGAGTCAACCTCAGTGTCTCCTCAGCAGCTTGACAGGAGACTTGGGAAGGGAGCAGTGACATGGCCAGTTGTCCTACCCTGCTCCATACACTTGCTGGGATGCTGCTGTGGGGAGTAGGGAGGAAGGCATGCTGCTAGAGGGAGGTTCCCAGACTTTTTATCACCAGACAGAAACCCCTAGATGGCATGTCCTTGGCCACCATCCTTGGGGATACAAACTGCATCCTCCTCACATCTGCAGCAGTGAAAGTTGCCTGTGATTTTTAAATTTTAAAATTCTTGTGGAAGTAAATCAAAATGTTACTTTGCAGAGTTCCTCAGTTTTCTGAATCTTCCTGTTGAGCATATATGAAGAAAGCTTCCCACCCCCTCAAATCTGTCAGGAGATGTCACATCCATCAGCTCCACACATAGCCTGGCAGCAGAGAATGTACTTTAGCAAAGCTGTTGTGCATCCCTGATCAGTTGTTGCTGGCACTTAATGGCCACCATTTCAAGTATTTCCTTTTTGTGTCTTAAAATACTAAACAAATGCACAGGCAAACTGTCAATGAGTTTGTAGTGAGGCGGAATATGGATGTAAATCGTGCAGTAGAACAAAACCGACGTAATCTCAAGCCATCTTTATGCTTGCTTCTTTTTTTTCTGTTCCCCTGCTTTCTGCTGAACTTGCCTTAGAGTACTCCAGTCACAGAGGAGTGTTATGCCTTGGGAAACTAGTATAGCTAACAATCTGGTTCCAACCATCACTTTCCATTGAGGTAATATCAAATGTGAGCTATGATAAGCTTGACAAACAAAAGCAGCCAAAAGTGTGTGGCGAGAAACAGGGTCAGTGACAATCAGGAAGGTGCTTTATTTTCCAGATACACAAGTGGAAGGACTACTTTCTTGGGCCGCATACAACCCAGAAATCCAACTTTCCACAGCTAGTCTGCCCTAGCAAACTGAAAATGAAGTCTTTTTGGCTTTGTTTGTCTTTCTGTTCCTCTATATGACCTAATTAGACAGTGAAGGGAATAAGATTTTCATGACCCTGAGGTGACACCTTGCAGATCTTCAACAGCAAACTGCAGAAAAGCACAGAAGCTTTGCACCTAAAATAAATCACCCAATTTTACTTATTTTCCTTTTTGAGGCTGGAAATACTAGCTATGAGGAGGCTACATTAGCATGGAAAGTCTTATCAGAGCTTGAGGACGGCATTAGCACAGGCAGACGAGCAGCAGCTTATTCTTCAGCTGGTTTTTTTTATCCCTCTTAAATTCTCTGTCCCTTCAGATTCCTTGAGTGTTTCTTCCATCTTTTATTCATCAGCTGCTAAAGCCTGGGGAGATAGAGGCCACGTAACCTTCCAGGTTACTTTCAAATCAGACTAACCCTTTCTTGTCAGTTCCTTGGGCCTTCCCACTACCTTGAATGTCTATGGATCAGGCTGGATTTTGATATGAACACTACTAGCATGCACAACAAGTTGTACATCCCAAAATGTTCTCCCAAAGACACAAGGCTGTTTCTGCAGTGACAGCACATGCTGACCAGATCTGGCTTAGTCTACCTCAGAAAAATCGGCAGCCGTGCAGCGAGCTACCCATTAACACCAGCTATCGGAGTCGGGTGCCATCAGGATGGGTGTCAAATGGAGGAGTAAAACAAAGTGTTTGCTTTCTTAAACTGTATTATTAGTTTAGCATTATAGTGGCAGGAGAGGGGAGTGTAGCAACAGAGAATCTGCTTTGTATCTCTCTGCTGAAGGTGGTTTGTGCTCAATCCCTTAGTTTACTTCTTTTCCTCGGAATGTCATTACTTTTTCATGATGGATGATAGTTCTAGGAGCATGCTCTGAAAGATAACAAGAGAAAGAAAGGATGAAGCAGAATTACCTTAAAGGTGAAAAATAAATGTTATTGTAGTAATTCACCCAAGTTCCAACACATACATAATTGGGAAGATGGAAATCTTAGAGTTTAGCTGACAACATATGTACCTTGAAGGGCTTTGTTCAGTGCTAAGGGAAGGGTGGGGAGAGGGGAAGCCCCTTGCTTTTAAACAAAAAGAACACTTCAATCCCTGAAGTAATTTGCTTGAAATCAGGGGATGCATCCTACAGGCCTTGCTTTACGTGTCAAGAGCTTTTGTATTATTTTTTTTTGCTTTAAAACCATACAAAAATGTACCCAATTGGGTGAGTTCCACTTTCTAAAATCCAGCTTCTCCATTTGTTGTTGCACAAATCCTCAGAGGGGTTCATTAGTTGTCAGCCACTGCTGACCCCCCCAAGTTCATCTGTGTTTGTGCAACTGGTGAATGGTTACCTTAGGGTGACCAAGTAGCTTTTGCAGGATAATTGGTACAGTGGCTGTCATCCTCACAAGCTTCTCCTGAGTGCTCCAGGGCAGAATAAATTACAACTACTGTAGAACTTAAATTTAAAAATAATTACATTTAAAAAAAAGTTAAGAGGTGTTTGCACAGAAAAACCTGTACAAAACCAGTGGTAGTTAACAGAAAGTGTGAATGTGGATACCTCTAAGGATTCTCAAACATCTAGAGGAGCATCATATTTTACCAGTCCTTTACCCCCACCTGTAGATTTTCCTGGTGGAGCTCAGTTGTCTAAATAACTCCTCTGTGGTTATCAGGTTTGTTATTTCAATGTACATTCCCTCTTATCAAACTGTCCCCAGCCCCAGGAGCGGGTGAGCAGCTGGTTAAATGAGTGGAGATTTATTCCTGAAGTGTTGTTGAAGGGGTGAGTAAACATGCTTTCTTCTGGAGGAGACTGCAAGCATTCAGGCTGAATAGCCACTTTCTCTTTCATGTCCTGCTCACCATGGAGTAATTTCCCACTGGGTAAAAGGCTCAAAGCTTAATGGAGACTTGAGAAGTAGAAAAAGAATTGTTCAGCACAGAGGAATGAAAAAGCCATGCAGTGAGGGAAACTGGACCCAGTGAATTGTAAAATTTCCCCAGCATTGGCAGAGCCAGGATTTCAGCCCCAGAGACTTTCTTTTCTGCAAATGAATAAAATCAGCAGCCCTATCTCAGTCTGTTTCTGTGAGCTGAGAGTATCAGCTTTACCAGCTGCTTCATTATCAGGTTTATTCCCCCTCATTGAACATGAGGAGGGGGCTTTGCTTTTAAAGATACATTGATTGCTTTGTAGCAAAAAAATTATTTAGAGAAGCATCACTCTGAAAGCACAGGGCTCTCTGGAGGAGAGGGTGGGCTGAAGAATAAGGAATGGATGTGAGGGTGAGGAAAACAGCACTTCTCAAAAAAACCCCAAAAATCTGAATTTACGTGCCTAAAAGGCATAATTCTTTCTGAAAACCTTGACTGAGTAATGTTCGTTTCCCAGGAAAGCAGTTCAACTAAAATATTGCTAAGAATATCATAAATCACTTCAAATTTTGTTTTGTGATTCCAGGAACTTATCTTGAGTCAATGAAGAAACACAACCATGGATGATACCATCTCCCACTCTTGGTGCAGGTTTAGGTTTAGGTTTGGAGTGCAAAGGTGATAACCTAGTTCCAAGTCTTAAAGATGGTGCCTTTGTGAGAAGAGTTGCCAGTCTAGTATAAATACTCCCAATCCCAGTTAAGCAAATTAAAACTCATAGGTTTTGGAGCACACCTTTGGATCCTTTTGAAAACTATTTTATATATACCAAAATGAACTGATGCTGGACATGCTCTGGTAGCATTTAGCTGGAGTCCTCTGCTTTAGACACAGCTAGGAAAAAACTTCCAATGCAGCTAGTGAAGAAATGTCACACAGGCCCCAGCTTTTGTAGAAATGTCTGTGTTCAGCTGTTAAATCATGGTTACACTGTGCCATCCTGAAGATGCAATGTCAGGCTGTGGCCATGCTCAGCTGAGCTTCCTGGTGTTCTACACTCATTCCTTCGTAGAAAATGGTCAAGGAGGAAGACTGCTTGATTCTGGCAAAGGGTGACTTTGAAAGTAAAGCTCTTTCCTTCTCCAATTGTTCAGCTGGAGTGCTCAGATCTCTTATTTCCATCTCCCCAGAGATAAAGTTATTTGATATAACAATGGCTTCACACAGTCTTGCACATGTGAGGCAGTGAGAGGATACCCCTCAGGGCAATGCTCAGAGAGCTGGGGGCCTGTTATGTTGCTGTATTTCCTGGCCATGCCTGTTTTCAAGAGAGCAGAGATGGTATTTGTACTAGTTATATACTAGTACAAATAGTATACTAGTTGTCATTTGTAACTGCAGTTACAAATTCAGCTCAGCTCTTTTCACTGACCTGTGTGTGGAAAGGCCTGCTTGCCCAAGGGAGCCTGGCAGCCTAGGGCCATGGGAAAGCTGTTCCTTTGCTCCATACCCACATCTCCCCTTAAATAGAAGTGAAATTGTGGCAGGAGATGCAAAAGTTAGGGCAGAACACTATGTGAACCCACCATACCTCTTAGAAGATAAGATACCATACAGTCTCTTAAGATGTATCCTCTAAGTGAGCCTTGGAAATGATTAGCTTGGAGACAGTTATCAGGGAACAAATTGTTCACTATCACTTCAAAGCTTGCTGACTGCATTCCTCAGTACCAAGGTTCTGGGGGCTTGCAGATAGCCCCTTTTCAGCTGTGCACAGATGCTGAATTCCTGTCAATGTAGAGCTTTGTAAAATTATTTATCCCAGGTCTCTACTGAATAGAGATCAGCTCACCCAGATCAGCTCACCCATCTAGTGGGTGATGCTCTTGTCATTGCATTTAGATGGACTGCAATGAGTTGGAAATTAACCCCACATCATGCGGGGACTCCCTCCTCCTGTGCATTGTTGTGTGCTTTCCCTGAGCAATGAAGGTCCAGTTTTGGTGGTCTCTATTCAGAACTTAATAGACCTAATGTCTGACCAACAGTGGCTGAAGGAAAATACCTTTTTTCCCAGTGGATTAAAGTCTCTTGAGAAGCCTTTGGCCTGATAAGTTTTTCAAGATTTCTGCCTCTCTCTCATTTTTACTTCCCAGTCTGAATAATGGATAATTTCAGACAATACAATGACCAAGAAACTGAACAGAGTATGAAGAGCAAGTAGTTTGAGTGTAAAACTAAACAGTTGGAGTGTAAAGATTTTTTCAAGGTTTTATGCCACAGATGGACATGAATGAAATATGGTTCTTTACCTGCACCAATTCCAAATGAGGAAGTTTTAAAGAGCCTTATTACTCTGCATTGTGGCCAAATACAGCTAGTCTGTACAAATCCTACCAATGGGAAGGGCATTTCTCCTTTTATATATGTAGTTGGTCTGGTTTGAACTGAAGACTGAAAAGTTGAGGAATCATCATGCCAAAGATGCATTTTATATTCAGTATTCTATGGAGCTGTTTCATAGAGATTTTCAGTGAAGGACTGAATGAATTCTCTTTTTAAGGTTCCAAAGTAACCTTTCTTCCAAAGAGGAAGTCTTAAGAAGAATTTCTTCTTCTGTTTGAGGGATGCAGTTTTGTACTTCCTTGGAAAAAAAATCACTTGATTGTGACCTGGCCAACAACTACCCACCGCCTAGTCTTCATGGTTTGATCAAAAGGGTGCAATATGTTATGAGAGGTAACTTTTACAACATGTACTTGTCCCTAATAATTCTTTTATCTGTTAGAGGCTCAAGTTTGGTGTGGAAATAGCATTGGTAGTATTGCTCAAAAAATCTCCTCACTGGCTAAAGGCCAGTCATAACCATACTATTAGATGTGTTGGGTGCTTTCAATGCCATGACTCACAGGATGCTGTGGACTTCTGTGCAGACTCTTGCAGTATGAAGTGGACTGAGTAGCTCTGAGATTTTTCTTTCAGCTGAAAAAGCTATGGTGGTTGTGGGCAGTTGCAGTGGTCCTGCTGTCTTAGCCCAGAACAGAGGTATGTGTTTGATTGGAGGTTGCTAGGACAGTTGTTGAGGTACAGAAAGTTGCATTTGCAATGTTGAGTTGACACTCCTCTCTGATTGAGCTTCAGACAAATTCTGGCAGAACAGTATGGATGGAAAGGAAGACATTTGAACCAACATGGAACTGAAGATTTTAAGTTTGGGAAAGCTATCAAAGAAAACTGAAGAATAGTGTCAGTTCCACTGTGGTTTTGCTCCATTTGGCTATCCAGCTTAGGATAGTAAGACCCAGGTTAGAACAGGCAGTATTTTGGCTGTTCAGAAAATGTTTCTGCATGTGGATTCACTGTTATGTTAAAAAGTATGTGTCCTTTCTCTGCATTACTGTTGCAGGCTACTATTACTCAGACATAGCAATGTGTGCTTCCATTGGAATTACTTTAACACCATTGCTTTTTCCCTTTTAAGTACTTTTTTTAAGTTTTGTTTTGTTTTTAGATAAGATCACTAAATTTTAATGCTCCTGTCACATGTATAAATCTAATTATATATTTTTTTCTTTTATCAAAACATTATTCCATTATTATTGTCTCCTGGAAGTCAATTTTTACAATTGAAGTCAATTAGAATGAGGTAGATTTAGGTGGGATATTAGGAAGTTCTTTATAATAAGGGTGGTGAAACACTGGAATGTTGCCCAGAGAGGTGGTGGAGGCCCCATCCCTGGAAACATTCAAAGTCAGGCTTGACCAGGTGCTCTCAGAAACCTGACCTAGTTAAAATGGTCCCTGTGCATGGCAGAGGGGGCTGGACTGGAAGACCTTTAAAGGTCCCTTCCAAACCCACACATTCTATGATTCTATTAATTTAAAACAAATCTAAGCAATGCTGAGTGCCTTCCACAACCACAATTAAGTAGTGAATATAGGAACTGGGAAAAATCAGATCAGAAGAATATACAAAATTTCATGCTTTAATTAATTTAAAGATTCAACACTTTGATGATGCTCCAGCATATTTGTGTTTTCAAACTGGTGCTGATAAAATGCCATGGCAATGCTAGCAGTAAAGTGCACTTGCTAAAATCTTGATTCATTTGTATATAGAGTCATCTTTACATGAAAATATCCTGTGCTGCAAGCAGGAAGCAACAGGTAGCATCCCTGCATGAGCCAAGTTTTAAACTGCTAGTACCAGTCCCACACATCAGGATCCCCAGAAGGGTGTTACTTCCAAAGGTGAGGACATTGCTTTGCAACCTGTCTATATTTCTCTGCAAGATCTCCCCTGGTAGATAGTGTCATTGTCATTAAACACTAAAAGCTGCCAGGCAACTTCTATGACTCCTCAACAGGGCCTACCAAAATGCTGCCTTGCTTCACACCCTTTTTGCACTTGACCTCTTTAAAGGGCCTTCCCATCTGAGTGTTAAAGATGGACAGGCTGGGCTCTAGGCCCTCTCTCCCTCTAGTAGAAGTGGGAAGTGGTTAAGCTGCATCCAAGTGACAATTTAACACGGCTCATCCTGACTATATATATTGTGGAAGCACCAGCTCCATGGAAATGGGAACCCAGCAGCAGCTGTTGGATGAGCAATGTGCAAGACTGCTCACTGCTTTCTGCTTCTTACCACAAAAGTTCTAAAGGCCTTTTGTTTGTTTTGCATTTAGGAAAAGTACTTATTCTTAGGAAGAGTGAGGAAAAATTGGAACAGATTTGGTAACTTTGAGTATTATGTGAAGTAATCTTCTGTTTATGACATGCCCTGTAAAAGGGTGTTAAGGGCTTGCTCCCACAAGCATCTGTAAAGGAGCTTTTTTTTGTTCTCAGAGGACAAATCTTGAAATCTGAGGCAATCAAAATTCAAATTATTTTTTAAAAAAATACCCCAAACAACCTTATTGGATCTTGAACGCAAGCACTGCATCTTACCAACACTGGCTGTGAGGAAGCTGAGAGTGTGTGGCCAAAGAACAGGAACAGCTGCTAAAAATGCAGTTCTGTAGCTATTTGCTCAGGCACTGCGGTCGTTTGGTGGTTTATATGTGGATTTATCCCTTGAGCTGCCTCTGGGAGGAACCCCCTGGAGCCGGGAGTTGAGTCACTGAACCCAACGCCCTTCTCTTCCTTAGGAACAGGCTGGAGCTGAGCGGGTTTCCCCCGGGACAGCCCCGTGGGGTCGGCACCTGAGGCACCTGGTGCCTCAGCAAAGACCCTCAGGACTCAACCGGTTTCCTAGCGGCTTTTGGGCTCTCACGGCAGCGA